CCTGACCAACATCTCGACCCTTGAAGCATACTCTTGAATTGTTTCTCTATCATACTTTTTCAGAGTATGAAGCTCTTGTCTGTATGTTTCCGGGTACCCATGATCTCCAAATCTATTTGACATGGCTGCACAAAGTGCTGAAAATGATCTTTTTGTCTCTGGTGTAAGAAATGAGGCATATACCATTGCTTCATCTTTGAGGGCTGTAACCAGTTCTATGGCTTTGGTTGATGGAGTCCAATTGTTCATTTCCGCAATCAGTTCAAATTGCATCACATATGCGTTCCATGGATCCTTTCCGTTATAGAATGGCACTCTTGTTCTGCGTCCATTATCATTAAATCTTGGAACTTCTGATGTATTGATATACTGTGGTCCACTGGGATGCTGCATTGGTAACAAGTCTGGCTCTGTGATTGGTTGATACTGTTGGAAATTTCTATTTTGAACTGGATATTGTGAAAAATTACTGTTCGGGGCTTGATTTTGTATATATCGGCTATTCTGTACTGTATTTTGCGAATAGTTACTTCTTTGCATTGTATTATAAGGATAGGTGTTGCTCACAAATTGACTCTGAGTATACAAGTCCTTGTTAAGAACTGGATTCTGTGAAATGCTGCTGCTAACAATATCCTGGTTTACATGGCTATGGGTACCAGCATATACATTCGGCTCTATATACTCTGTTGACTGGGTAATTGTGTTGACCAGATTTTGATTAGGGTTTGTTTGACTTGAACTTGGTATCTGAAAGCTGTTTTGTTTGGCTGTTCTCTTTAATTCAAAATTTTCATTCTTTAAGGCATCTAATTGTCTTCTTAATTGTATGAGCTCATCACTATCAGAATTGGTTGATCTTGAAATTAAAGCGCTATCACTTCGACTTTGAGTTGGAACAAGGAACGGATTAGTGTTATTCTCAATTTCTTTACTTATAGCAGGTAAGTTGATAGTATGATCCATGGTACAAGGATTTTCATCAGTCAAATGAGTTATCTCCCTTTCTCCTTCATTAATTGAAGTAGGCAATATATTTGGATACTTATTTATTGTCTCCCCATTACTGAATTCAGGGATATTAAACCTTGCATTAAAATAATCATGAGAGTTTCTAGATTCCCCTGAAAAATGGGCCTCCATATTCCCAGATGATATGGAATGCTTGGGAATGGCTAAACTACTTGGTGGGTTTATTCCAGATCCCCTTCCTCTTCCCCTTCCTAAAGACATTGATCCCGTAGACATACTAGGTTGTCTATTTCTCAAATTATACATCCTACTTTTGACTGCTAAATGGAATCAAGAGTTTCAATTTACTAATCAACTTGGATTAAATTTTATCCTTGTTGAAATTGATAAAGAATTTCCTATGCCTTACTTTTAAAACACAATTTGGATTATGAATCTATCCTTACTTTGTGAAATAGACTATATACATTACAAACTTGAAATAGACTATAGACGTTCAACTTTGACCTTAATGAAATATAACTACAACTTAGATTTATATTTATCCTTGTTGTAAAACTTATTTTGTGAAATGTACTATTTAATTTACAACTTCGAAATAGACTATAATTTTTTTTTTTAAACTTCGACTCTATCGAAAAATTATTATAACTACAACTTGGATTTATATTTATCCTTGTTGTAAAAAAATAAGCTTATGAAATGGACTATTTAATTTACAACTTTGAAATAGACTATAAATTTTACAACTGGACCCTATTGAAAAAATTATGGTTTTAATATTATTATTCAACTTGGATTCAGATTTATTCCTGTTAAAAATAGACTCCTAACTTTAAAACTCAACTTGGATTAAAGTTTATCCTTATTGAATATGGTATTCAATATTAATCTAGCTCAACTTGGATTTTATTTTATCCTTGTTGAAATTTGACTTAAAATTTTTTATCTTTTAACATTCAACTTAGATTAGAATTTATCTTTGTTGATGTTTACCCCTTAACTATTTTATTTCAACTTATAGATTCATATTTATCCTTGTTGATATATACTCAAATTTAATAATTATAACCTTTTCAACTTGGATTAGAATTTATCCTTGTTGACATAGATTTTGATTAACTATATTATTTCTTTTCAACTTGGATTTATATTTATCCTTGTTGAATTTAAAACTACTGAAAGATATACTATAAGCTTAATTAATCTCACCAACTGTACTTTTCTTTTCTTTCATCTTTTGTTGAAGTGTCCTTTTTTATTATGTTCAGTTTTTTTTTTTAAGTGTAAACAAATATGGACAGTAACAATTTAAAATATTTTTACTTATCAATTGCGTGCCTAATAAAATATTCACGTAGATTCTTAAAATTTTCTTTAAAAAGAAAAACTAAATTCGCTGCCACCAGTGTAAAGATTATTCTCAATCTTTCTTACAATACCTTTAGTCTGTAGATATTTATTCTATTCAATAGCTTTTCGAAATACATTAGCCAGGTTTTCTAAATAAAATAACAACTAAACTACTATTTCAAGAAATAGAAATTATTATTATTACTATAAATTACTACAAAGAATGAAAGTACAATATGTTTAACGGTTTTCTGTGATTTTCGTGCGTGAAGTATTTACCTATTAAGTTTCTGTAAAGATGAGTTCAAATTCGTTTTGCTATTCGGAAAATCCCCTTTTTATAATCCTTAGCACGCCTTATCCTTGCGCGTAAGAAAATAGGTCGCTACTGGTCAAGGTTAATCATATAAATCACTGTCAATACATACGTAAATATTGGATTATAAAGAAAGAAATCACGATTTCATACGTCTCGACACCGATTTATCAATATAAAGCATATGAACACAAGTAACTAAAGAAATGTAGGATTAATAACAAGTTAGAAAACAAAGATGTTATTCGAATGCCACATGTTGGCGGAATTTCGTAACGCTAAATCGGCAACTTCCAATTTTGCCGGGAACGACGTTACGTTAACACAAAGGTAAAACCGCGTTATTGAATGTTCACAACAGAGGGTTTTCCATTCTAGTTGGTTAAGCATGTCACTAACAGATGATGTGTTATGATATCTGTTAGTGACATATCTGGCTGCTCTCCTCTGTACCATTTCCAGTCGGTTTTTGTTGTTTTGTTGATAAGGATCCCAGACTGTACATGCATATTCTAGAGTCGGTCTTACAAGTGATTTGTATGCAGTATCTTTTATTTCGAATAGGCAGAAAAAATATTACAGTCATTCCTTATAATTTAATTCTAAAAAGGAGTAAATCATGATGAAAACGTTGATGACGTCACAGTCACATGACAAAATTATGTCTATGAGCTGATAGTCAAAACACTTTCAGCCAATCAGAAAATGTGTTTCTTCAAAATTAAATTATTAACCTATAGTATAAGTTTTAGAAAAATCTGCCATGAATTGTAACTGTGAGAGCGGACGGACACACGGACGGACGCACGGGCGGACGTCCGGTATTTCCATGTCCCCCGCAACGTGTTACGCGGGGGACAATAAATAATCATGCACCAGAGACTTAAATCAACTAAAACATATCCCAGGGATTTAGTGTTTTAACGTCATGGACAGTCAAAGAAGACATGACTAGTGAAATGCCAAAATAAAAATCGACAGGCAGTAGGATAGTTAGGATTTAACCTTATAATAAATATGTATAATGTTATATATAGATAAAGCAATCTGTATATAGAAAATGAACGAAGATGTGTTTTTAAACATCCCCAAAAAAAAACATTTAAAAAGAATACAAATTTAGTTATGTTTAATTTGTGGATGACAAAATCGATATTTGTGCCAATGAAAACAATATTTAAAGATCTAATTACAACATTGATTAAGATAACCTTTACTTATAAGTTTGTTTAAAGGTTTAATGAGTTTACACGGATTACGTAGTGATTTCCACGCTTTTAGTACAATATTACCGTAAAATTTAGGATGTGAAATACAGTTTTTAATAAGTTTTCTACAGGAACAGCCAAATTTACAAATCAAATCTTTGTATCTATGAAAGAATTTAGTAAAAGTTTCAAGTACTTTGTGGTAACGAAATCCCTGAATTTATAATTTACCAGTAATGCATTGATTACGTTCGTTAAAATCTATGACATCACTACATACACGGTCATAACGAACGAGTTGGGATATATATATATATATAAACACCGTATGATGGAGCCAAAGGAACATCTTCGTCTAAAAAAGGAAAATGAACAATGAAAAATCGTCTCTTTTGTCGTAAATTTTAGCATGGAGTTTCCCTTTGGAAATTGAAATGTCTAACTCTAGAAAAGGACAACATCTGCTGTTTGTGTTAGATTTATTTAAAGTAAGTTCCTTTGGGTAAATTTCGGTAGTATATTTAGAGAACTCTGGATTTTTTACACCTAATAGCAGATCTTGCCTTGCTGGTCATGTTTGCCTATTAGAGTAATTCAAGGGCAATCACTCTAGTAAGAAGTCGGCTGACATTTTTTGGCAAATGGACAATGCGTTATCATTTTAAACATTTTTTTCGAGTCAGATTTTTTTTATTTTCAGAGCGGTTTCCAAGATTATAGACAAATCTTGCATTTTACCCTTATGCTCTATGTTTAGCCAAGTCAGAGGTGAAGATTTTTGTAAAATTAACAGACGACGATGACGGACGAGCAATATTTTCCTCGAATTGGGTCAGAAGTTTCAGTTAAAGCTAATAATAGGAAGAATAGAATATCAAAGAATAGTCTGTAACAAATACCACTTAGTGAAGACAAGAAATCACCAAATTAGTCAGTAGGTTGAGAATAGTGTGTTGACTGAAAATAATGATGATTCTTTTCGGTCATTTAAGTGAAAGGTGGATTTCCTTCGCAACAGATAAATACTTTCATACAGATTGCTCGTTTTGCAGCGGGTGTGAATATTGGAGAGCACGTGGATATTTGTTTTATCGTAAACAAGTCATGTATATAGGTTGTGAAAATTTGAATGAAGATTAAAATATTCTTACCGTCTTAAATGATCCCAAATTCTGTATTAATTGATAGCAAAATGGCGGACGAGGAAGTAAATACGTTCTGCTGACTTACCTTTCGGGTTCTTTAAATAGCGATGTCGATACACAAATAATACGGATAGTTTAACATGAATGTTTATTTTTAGTGTCAGTAAACCTTTATAAAGTTATTTGACCTACTTAACATTCTAAATCAGATGACATCTGTGATACTTATTCAGAAGTTCAGGGTGTTAAAATGTTTACAAATGATTAAAAACATTTCATTTCTATATACGGTTCTTATACAGCCTTGCCATTCGTCACAACTCGGCCGATTCCGTACCTTCATCTAAGGATGATAGAAGGAGAGTAGCGGATTCACCCGAGGATTGCCGATTAACAGCCTTGCCTTACAAATATTTGGTTTTCAGCGTTCCTGATGAAGGTAAATAAAAAAAGCACTTCAGAAGCATCAAATATATATAGATCTATAAAGTGTTGATTTAATTTTTTTTCCAATAATTCGATTCATTACTTGGCTGGTTTTCAAACTTAAGTCCAGCATCCGGAATAGGAGGAACAGATGTCCATAATGGCTTTCATCTCAATACTAGTCCGAAAATGGGAAGCGGAAAAACATTATTAAAATGAGTGCGTTAATTTCTAAGGAAAGCTTATAGACTTTATCACATAAAGCGAAATAACATAAACGATCTCGAAACATAAACTATATTATGGCAATATAGTTATCCAGACATCGGGTCAAATACTTTTAAAAGGAATTAATTGCATTTCAAAGGTTCAATTAAATTGTTAAAAGGTTCAATTAGATAGCAATAAATTGATTATTTTTCTTTACAATTAATTCAGAAAGTAATTAATTACATTACTAATTACATTTTCAAATATACAGAATGGACATTACTAGTGAACATGACGCTGTATATCATACAGAACAGAAATCAGAAGTTTGGTTGACTGTACTGGCCGGACCAGCGAGTTTAACCAAGATGACTGGGTTTATGTAAAGATAAAACAATCAGGAGCTGACTTTTATTTCACTACCAATCCAAATGGTGAAAAACTGAAAATACAAATATAAATACAATTTTACAATGTGTTCAATGATAATTAAAGTCCATTAAAATACGGATAAACAGTTCGTAGATATATAAAGCTGTTAATGTTCTTTATAATAATAAATAGATGAATATTCTTGCACACGTCGGGTTCTGTCTGAATTAAATTGTGTAATCGCAGATACGAACAGTTTGAACGGTTAAATGTTCATAGTTTCTTTATAACATAGGAAAACATATTAAAACAGTTCATCGCTGATGTAAAGACATAATTTGTAATGTTTTAAAGGTAACTCACGCTGTGGTTAGCCACGAATTGTTCCTTTGGACAACGTGTCCGCTGAATGTTCCTTGCAGTTGTGCACACGGCCTGCTGAGCAGTTTTCGTCACTCAGAAGAGAGGAGAAAGTAACATGGGTTCCTACACTGTCCTGTATAAAACTCCTAAAACTGGAGCATATAAAGTGATGTACGCAATGAAACATAAACAATATAAAATGATGATCACATGACGAACAAATGATGAATGAGTTCCAGAACACTCCCCGTCTGAGGTCTATCTGACATCACTATTCCGTTATTAAAACAAATAAAATGTTAAATATATAACAGCCGTCCAAAGTTCCACTTATATGAACTTGGAAGTAATCCAACGGGAGGCTGGGTATTTCACAGCTTCTTTCCTAGATAAGGTGGTGTTTCCGACGAGATCGCGGCGATCTAAGATCCAATTCCATGGCTGTAGTTCTGATGGAAGAATCTCCTTTCGACACAGATATGCGATCCAACGAGGACGTCTTGCGAAACGGACGCTTTCCTTTACGTTTACGGCATACAGTAGACCAGCCGGTGCCATGTTCCTTTTTCTCTGTGACTTAAGTCGGAATTGTCTATTCTACTTTCCTCTTGTCCTTGCGTATCTAAAGGCAAATTGAAGCTTTCCTTGGGAATTGAATGTTTTCGGATGTACTTTTCTTTGTCGGCATTCACTTTTGGTGATGTTGCTTCCGAAACGAACTTTTCGGCTTCTGCAAATTTGACGATCGAAGTCGCTGATTTCGTTTTTGGTTGCCCATGTAAACGGGGATATTGTTTAAACGAATCAGTTCGAATTCCATTTGACTGGGTGTTGGTTTTATTACACTCAGGTAATTTCTTTGTATGTGGTTTCACAACACTGCAAGTTGAATTCGTTTCCTTTGTAGTGAGTTCAAGGTGAACATGTTGCCTATCGGAGCGTATTTCACCAACGATAATCCAACCCAAGTTTAACTTTTGCGCAAATGGAGCCTTTGGTGGTCCCAGACGTTGATCAAGGACGTGGTGTGCCTCTATTAGGTCTCTTCCAATGAGCAATAGGATTTTGCATTTTCCATCAATCGGGAGAATATTTTTTTGTAGTTCTTGCAAGTGTTGATATTACAATATATCCTCAGGTGTAGCAATTTCGTTCCGATTATTGGGTATGTTATCGCATTCAATCAGTTCAGGCAGATTGAATCTAGTATTGTCTTGTACAGACTTTACGACAAAGCCGTTTCCTCGTTTACCGGAAGTAACCTTGCTGCCGGAGCATGTTGATAACATATAGTCTTTTGTTTCTTCCTGTACGTTGAATAGGCTGAAGAATTCAGGAGCGGCGAGAGACCGGTTGCTTTGGTCGTCAACATGCGAATTACTTTGTCCTGATTATTTTTGTGAAAGACATTCACAGGAAGTATCTTGGCACAAGATTTACTACTGTTGCCATCTTTGCAGATATCTGTGCAAGTTGAACTAACAGAGATTAGCTTGGTTTCAGCTTACTCAAGTTGCTCCCCGCCGTAGGCTGTATCAATTAGCTCCCCGCCGTCGACTGATCTAGGCGGTGAAGGCGGTGCACCTTTGGGTTGGTACACTCGATTTGTGTTTTATGCGGTGGTGTGTTGTTTACTTCCGCATTCATTGCAACTGATACTTGCGTTGCAATCACGACTTCTGTGCATAGTCGAATCACAGCATTTGTAACAAAGATTGTTTTGCCTCAACAGTTCCTTGCGTTCCTCGATTGATTTGGCACGGAACGCTCGGCATTCGTTTAAGGTATGCTTTGTATTATGCAAAATGCAAAGACTTTGTTGATCACTGCTGTCTCCAGGTTGCTGTTCAACTGCTGTCTTATGAACATTGACTTTAGAATATGTTTGAGGTGTGAACTTTGGCGCAGCACCTTTTGTACTTGGTGTGATTCTTGACCCAAAAATGAACCCAGGATCGTTCTTTATTTTGCTAATTTCCCTGATGAAGGCAGACAATTCTGTGAAAGGCGGAAAGGCAACTTCGTATTTAGACTTGTATCTTGAAGCCCTTGTTATCCACTTTTCTTGGAGTCCATATGGCTGTTTTTCCACAATTGGATTTATCCCGGACGAAGAGTCGAAATAAGCTAGCAAACATCCCAGCTTGGGATTTTCCTTGTGATATTCTATTTCTGATAGGATGTCAGACAAGTCATAAAGACGTGCGCTGTCTTTGTTCGTCAAGGTAGGAAAGTTGACGAGTTTACTTGTGAGACAAGCCTCCAACATTTCTGGAGCACCATATCGCTCATCAAGTCTCTGCCATAACCTCTGTAGGCCTCTTGTTGGGTTGTTGGCATTTGATGCCCTTATACTCATGGCATGTTTAGCAGACTCTGGACCGAGCCACTTGATCAGAAGATCAATCTGTTCCGAGTCAGAAACTTGTAGCTCGTTTGTCACGTTTTTAAAGCTTGCTTTCCATGTATGGAAGGATTCTGCCCGGTCATTAAAGCTTGTTAACCGGGAGAATAGTAGGTCCTTGCGTAGAAGAAATCTAGTTATCTCTGATGTAGGATTAATTGGTTGCAGGTGTGTAGCGGGGATCTCTTCTTTAACACCCTGTTTCTGGTGTTCAGCAGGGATCTCATCTGAAAGGCCTAGTTTTTGTATGCTGGTTACTATTCCCAGATCTGGGATTAAGGTAACTTCCGGTGACTTAGTATCGGAAGGCAAGACAGCAGATGTATGTGACGGCAAGTTCAGTGCCACGGATGGCACGAACGCTGGTGCTTCATGACTCAGCTCAATCTTAACAGGAATTTACTTTATCCTTTGAGGTCCTGTTACTTCCCGTACAGCAGTTGGTACAGGATGCTTATTGACGAAATCTTTCACACGCTGGAGAGGGTCTTCCGTTTCATCAGGGAGATCGCTAAATGCTTGGCTGTCGTCGTATTCCAGGATACGAGCCTCTACTTCTGCGGCTGCAGCTTCTCTCTGTGCTTCAAGAAGGTTAAATTTGGCTTTCAGCTCGGCCTTTTCCCGGCTTACTCGTGCGGCTTCTTGTTGCATTTGAGCCTTCCTGCGCATGGCCTCTTGTTCTAATTGCACTTTTCTGTGAGCGGCCTCCTGTTCTAGCTGAACTGTTCTCTGTGCGGCCTCCTGTTCTAGTTGAACTTTACGTTGAGCGACTTCCTGTTCCATTTCAGCCTTTTTGCGTGCAGCTTCTTGCTCCATTTCGGCCTTTTTTCGTGCTGCTTCCTGTTCCATTTCAGTTTGTCTAAACAGGGCTTGTTACTCTAACATTGCCTCCTGTTGTAGGATAAGGGCATGTTTTTCGACAAAGGCTATTTTAGACTTGGCAGCCTCTGCCTTGGCACGCTTTCTCCGTGCTAGGCTTGACATGTCTGACACGTTAGAGCTACCGCTGTGTGAGGTTTTCTTACCCTTTGAGGTCTTTGTTTTAGTGGATTTGGCCTTTGTTAGGGCGAGGCGATGCTCGTGTAGTTTTTCCATAACCAGTTCCACTTCGGACAGACGAAAATCCAATGAGAGATTACATGCTTCTATTTCTTTTTGACTCTCCGATGTTCTGGTCCTTTTCAGGAAGTCCAGGAATTCATCTGTGAGCCTACGATAATTATTACAGGCTTTAACAAGTTTGTCTTGGGCTGTTAGGAGTTGCTGGAGCTCGTTAGGAGGCGTGGTGACTTCCAATAACTGGGATTCAATGTCTGTCCAGAGAGCCTCTTGTTCCTGACAGAACTTGTCACGTTTTTCTGTGAACGCTCCTTTTCCTTTTTCCGTGAGGTCACGTACTCGCCTAGTCTCGGGATTTTCATCTGAATTTGTTGTATTAGATGGATTTTCTAATAGTTCAGGGACATCTCCCTCTTGGGGCTGAACCTCTTCTTGCTGTTCCACTTGACTGGGATCCATGGTGACTCAACGTTGTTGGGTTGCTGCCTAGTACACACAAGTTATGTAGTCCACTGTCAGTGTAAAGGTATTTACGTTGCTACATAGTCGTTCCTTGTCTGGATATGTAAAGACAGGTTGTCGTCAATTTACTAGCACGAAACGTTGTCGTTGAAACTACGTTATGGGTCTGCTGACTGTCGTGGAGTGGCGTACGTTATCCAAGAAAAACAACAGGCAAGTTGTAGCTTTTTCACTGTACTGGCCGGACCAGCGAGTTTAACCAAGATGACTGGGTTTATGTAAAGATAAAACAATCAGGAGCTGACTTTTATTTCACTACCAATTCAAATGGTGAAAAACTGAAAATACAAATATAAATACAATTTTACAATGTGTTCAATGATAATTAAAGTCCATTAAAATACGGATAAACAGTTCGTAGATATATAAAGCTGTTAATGTTCTTTATAATAATAAATAGATGAATATTCTTGCACACGTCGGGTTCTGTCTGAATTAAATTGTGTAATCGCAGATACGAACAGTTTGAACGGTTAAATGTTCATAGTTTCTTTATAACATAGGAAAACATATTAAAACAGTTCATCGCTGATGTAAAGACATAATTTGTAATGTTTTAAAGGTAACTCACGCTGTGGTTAGCCACGAATTGTTCCTTTGGACAACGTGTCCGCTGAATGTTCCTTGCAGTTGTGCACACGGCCTGCTGAGCAGTTTTCGTCACTCAGAAGAGAGGGGAAAGTAACATGGGTTCCTACACTGTCCTGTATAAAACTCCTAAAACTGGAGCATATAAAGTGATGTACACAATGAAACATAAACAATATAAAATGATGATCACATGAAGAACAAATGATGAATGAGTTCCAGAACATTGACAAATGTTTTCTGTTTGCTTCTCTGTTATCAGCTTTATCCACTCAATACCGCTGCAAATGTTTGCACCTGTCCTAAGTCCGGAATCTGATGTACAGCAGTTGTCGTCTTTTTATGTAGTTCATACGTGTTTCTCGTTTCTCGTTTTTATATAGATTATACCGTTGGTTTTCCCGTTTGAATGGTTTTACACTAGTATTTTTTTGGGCCCTTTATAGCTTGCTGTTCGGTGTGAGCCAATTCTTCTTGTTGAAGGCCGTACCTTGACCTATAATGGTTTACTTTTCTGAATTGTTACTTGAATGGAGAGTTGTCTCATTGGCACTCATACCACATCTTCCTATATCTAAATACAGAGAATTCTAATTATCATCAAAAGAAAACTGGACAAAGATCACCAAATATTTTGGAAATAGCTCGGCAACTGTACAGCAAGTTCGTAAAATATTTCAATGCACAATTCTTTCTCCACACCCATAATATAGATGTAGGACCCTGAACCGCAATGGGTACGCTGATGTGCGATTGTTTGACGCTATAGTGTGTTTTTTTTATCACGCTGAAGTGCGATGGTGGCATATTGTGACGCTATCTTGTTGATAGCTACGCCGAAGTGCGATGGTTTAACACTGAACTGCGATGGACTTCATAAACTATATCTTTAATGCTTTTCATGTCGATGTAGAAGTCAATGTGTTTGTTAGAAGCAGTTTTTCGGGCTTTTAAGTTAATAAAGGGCTAATAGATTTTTATTAATTCG